TTCCCTTTATTACTCATCACTAGCAAAGAAGATATTGCAATTACTTATTTTGTTATCTGTCTGTCTACTGGTTGTCTACCAAAACCTGTTCTTCCATTCTTCCTGAGCACCTGGCTTTTCAGCTAGAGACATTTCCCTGTCTCTCTTGTGATTAGGGAGGACCACATAACTAACATTTCTCCAGAGGTATGTATAACAATGAAGTATGTAATACTGATGTGTGACGGGCCGGCTGATCGCTGCTACCCTGCTTGGCCGCCTCAGGTCAGGTCGCACACAGGATGCCTGGATGGCGGCCGGGCGGACCGGCCGATCACTGCTGCACCGCCTGGCCTCCCTGGGTCAGGTCGCACACAGGACACCCGCCGCCCCAGGTCACAGATAGCAGGCCCAGATGGCGGCAGGGCAGGCAGGATGGCGCTGGCCCGCCCTGCCTGCAGTATGCAAATTAGCTGCCATCTTTGTTGGTGGTTAATTTGCATATCGTGCTGATTAGCCCATGGGAGGTGTAGCAAAGGTATGGTCAATTACCATGTTTGTCTATTATTAGATAGGATTTGTATTATAAACTACAAGTATATTAAAAGTATACTTACAAAAGGAAGAAATGGAGTGAAAACATAAAAAAAGTTCAGCCTCACTAGTTATCAGAATTGCAAAATCAAAAAATAGGAATCATTATTTGCTTCTCAAGTGGACAAAGAATTTTTTAAAATTGGTCATAATTAGAGTTGTGATTATAATGCTGCTGCTGGAAAAAGAAATTGCTACAAATTTTCTGGAGAGAAATTTGGCAATATGTATATCAAGCCAGTAATTCCATTTGTAGAACTTTATAATGAGGAAGTAATTGGACAAGAACAAATGTGTGTGCAAGTACATTAATTAGAGATTTAATATTAATGAAAAATGGAACTAAATGGAAGTGCGCATTAGTAGAGTATTATATAAATACATTGATAACCTCCATGTATGATTATATAGAAATTAAAATAGTATGGTAGATTTATATTTATGGCTATGGAAAGGTGTCTGTGTTATATTAACACATTTGCAGGTAGTTTTTATCGCGCGCTAACGGGTGGCGTGGGCCATTTTTGCTAATTTTTGCACAAATGGCAACGTTCAGTAAAATTACGATAACGTTAGTTTACGTATTTATACGTTACCCGCATTCTACCGCTTGTCTATAAAAAACGTATTAATACGTGTCCCACGCTCTACTACACTGGTAGAACGTATAAATATGTAAAACATATAAATAGGTTTCCCGCATACAATGGGTTAAACTTTACAGAGCAGCATGTAAAATATCCCATATTATGGTGCTACATGGAATTATATATAACAATTTTTAAAATGATCATCAGTATTTGAGTACATGTCTTTTTAGGTTATCTTTTCACATGAATTCATAAATATCTGTACTGATACATATAAAAGCCTAGTAGGATATACATCAATATATTAATAATGTTCATTTATGTGTGTGATATTATGGGAAATATTTTCTTTATTTCTTCAAAATGTTTAATTTTTTTACTGTGAGCACTATATAACTTTGATAATCAGGAAAAATAAGTTAAATAATTATACTGAAGTATAATATACATAAAAGTGCATGTAAGTGTTCAAGTAGCTAAAATATCACAAAGTAAACACATCTGTAGTCAGTAAACAGAACATTACCAGTATTGTGGAAGTCCTCCTCATGTCCTCCTCCCCCAAGGGCAACCACTATCCTGGTTTTTGCCGAAATCTAACAGTATGTATTCTTTTGTGACTCACCCCTTTCACTCAACATTGTTTATAAGATTCATCTGCATTGTTGTGTGTAATTGTAGATCATTCATGATCTATAAAACGATTCCTTTTTCTATCTACTATGTAATGAGAATTTTAATAGTTTCCAGTTTGGGCCTATTGCAAATGCTGCTGCTGTGACA